TGATGAAGCATGATTTGTAAAGCAAGTGAAGCCTGAAATACTGAGTAATCCTTAGCCGAAGTTTAGAAAAAGAACTGCCCTCAGAAAAAAAAAAGCTTTCAAAATACCTTGTTTACTTGCACAGTCTCATCAGAAGGTGCTTAAAGGTTATGCATACAAGCTTTTTGATGCTAAGATTTTACTTCAAGCGAGGTGTCAGTCAGCAGGTCTTTACATAAGAAAATTGTTGTAAATATTAGTCTACTCATTTGTTTACCTTGCTGCTGTCTAAATTGTAGCTGGGGTGTTCCTGTTTTGCCTTGGCTTGCTCATATTCTCCCAGGCTGCCTGCTGTTCTACTTTTGAACTCTGTACTTTCCTGGTCATCACTAAGTAAACCTGGCTTTAAACCTGGGTTTTTATAGCTATCATCAATAAAAGGTACTGAAAAATCCTTTAAGAGTGCTCGTATTATTTGCCAAATTACGTTGAAGTTTTCTGTAATATAAATCACACCATGTACTTACTCGAGTCAAAATAAATGTGCGTGTACAGCTAAAGTTCATGTTCTTTTAATTCTTAACAGTGCATTTGCACAGTATAACATGGATCAGTTCACTCCAGTGAAGATAGAAGGGTATGATGATCAGGTAAGAGAAAACTTTTTACACTTGAGGTTTGTATTACTACACTGTGCAAAAACAATAAAAATGTTGTTTCATCAAGATGTTCACTAGTTTCATTCTACTCACAAGTTATCACCTCTCCTCCTTCCCCCACACATCATTATATTGCCAAACTTTTGTTCTTATAGAAGAAGCATAGGTGAACTGTTCTTTTAAAGTATTGTCTGATACTACCTAGTAACTCTAATTCACTGTTCCTTAAGTAAAGCTCCATGCTGAAGTCACTGGAATTCTACTTAGACTATGAATGATTAAAGATTACTGTTTATTTAAAGTTCACTTACAAATCCTTATGTTGCTATCTGCTTACAGTTCCTACTGACAACTGGTAGTAAGATTCTTAATAGGTTTTTTTTTTTCTGCATTTTTAATCCATTCCCTGCTACCTTAAAAACCATACTGTATCTTTGATTATACCAATCTAATACTATCTAGTCCATGCCAGCAAAACGGTGGGTTGGGTTTTTTTTTGGGGGGGAACAAGCAGCAAGTCCTACAGAAGATAGAAAAGGTGGCCTGACCATCTGTTCTATTCTCTGAGCCAAGTACTGACCTAGCTTTTCTGGTGTCCCAGATATGTTCATGGGAGGCAGATATTTTTAAGAGGGCTGTCCACAGAAATAGCTTTGACAAGAGAAAGTTACAGTACAACCTGAAAAAAAAAAACCAAAGTCAGTGTTTGGGAAGCCAGAGAATTATGGTTAATAAGACAAAGGAGACGGAAGGTACAGTGCTGCTTTGCTGTGTACTTTAGTTTGTGTATATTAGTAGTAGCCACATCTATATACCCTTCTTGACCAGAAGGAGAGCTATTGCAACATGGAACATGGCAATAAACAGTAAATTCCAGAGTAAAAGTCTTTGTTTCCTTTAGAAATGGGGAAGAAAAACAGCAAAAATAACTTTAAAAGGAAAACCACCTGTTTGTATTGTAAGGGTGCCCAACTTTAAGCTACATATATACTTTATTATAATACAGCCATTTCTGGGATAGAAGACTAAGTGCAGTATTACTGTGAAGAGCAGAGTTTACCTACAGCCTCACTACAACTACTCTTAGTTGAAAATACTACTGAAAATCCTTGTTTCTTTATGTGATATTATAGCTCAATGAAAGAATCTATTGAAACTGATATCTGTTCAAATAGTCAGGGAAAAATGCAAAACAGCACATTTACAGCAGCATAAGTGTATCTTAATTTCAACTTCTCTTACAGGTCTTAATCACAGAACATGGTGATCTGGGCAATGGCAGATTTTTAGACCCAAGAAACAAACTTTCTTTTAAGTTTGATCATTTAAGGAAAGAAGCAAGTGACCCCCAGCCTGAGGACACAGAATCAGCTCTAAAACAATGGAGAGATGCCTGTGACAGTGCATTGAGAGCTTATGTGAAAGATCATTACCCCAATGGCTTCTGTACTGTTGAGTATCCATCTTGTTTCACTGAAAGTTCATTGCTCCGTGTCAGTCGGTACCTTGAGAGGACTTTGTGCTGGGCAGTGCTGTTTGAATTCTCCATCCTCACTAGTGTTTTTGCTAACTTTGGAATAACAAGTTCCAAAGAGGGTGCAAATGTCTCGGTATGCACACAGTGGTAAAGATGTATTAGCCTTATTTTTCATAGTCATGACTGCCAAGCACCTTAACACCTGCAGTTAATAAAAGGAGGCATTATGTGCACACATGTGCAAATGGAGGTGTTGGACAGTGTCATTAGTGGTACCTGTTCCCAGTGAGATACCACAATAGCAAGCCTCCACAATGCTGCCAAGAACAGAAATTAAGAATGGCTTTCCTCAGCTCTTTGGCATTTTTAACTCTTTTTCTAAATACAGGTTTATGGTAAATCTATAGATGGGCAGCAGACAATTATTGCCTGTATTGAGAGCCACCAGTTCCAGCCCAAAAACTTCTGGTAAGACTATTTCAACGTAGTGTATTTTCTTCCTTTACTAGTCCTCAAAACAAAACTATTCCCTGTGTCTTCTGACACAGTCTGAAGGGCAAGTAGTCTTGGGCTTCCCAGGAAGTTCTGCTTCTCATTCTGCAGTCTGTTCTCCTTGCAGCTCCCTTGGCACGTCCCTAAAGCCTTCAGTGTGGCTCAGTGACCTATCCAGAAAGAAAGGCATTAGCAGAGCTAGATAGATACCCCCTACGTATTCCAGAGCACAAGTACACTGGAGCTAGTCTGTACTGAAGCTGCATTGTATTCAGCTGTGCTTCAGAAATTTAATTCAATGCCATGTAAGGCACTAATATGGGTCATAAGATGACAGCAGAAACAACTTGCTCTTGTTAATTTGGTTCTTTTTGTTGTTAGAGCTTTTTGGAAATACAGTTTTCGTGCTTTGATTGTTTTTAGGAATGGTCGTTGGAGATCAGAATGGAAGTTTACCATCACACCACCAACAGCTCAAGTGGCTGCAGTGCTCAAAATCCAGGTGAGTTACTTTTTCTGGCAATAACAGGAGAATCTGCATTGTGCTTCTCTTATACTAATGCATTCAACTCGGAATGAGATGCTGAAATACAGCCGAGATGTCCTTCTCAAGTCAAGATGCTATTAAACTATACAATTCAAGAAATTAATTCTTAAAACTAGTGTTTCGGACATCATCTACAGTCTGGCCTGTGGTTTATTATATAGCATTACCC